ATTTAACATCTGTAATAAAGTCTTTTAAAAGTGTGTCAAGGTCTCCACACATATTATTTTTGATTGCTAAATCGATGGCCTTCTTTGAAATTCCAGATAATCGTGTATACAAAACTTTAGGCCCTTCTAATTCACGATTACAAGATTCATGATTTCTAGTTAACAACAAATGATTAAATGTAACATGTTGAATTGGTATAGTAGCTGTGTTATCCGTAGAATTTGAAAGTTGAATAGGCTTAATTTGATCAAGAAGACCACTTTCTGAAATATTTGGATTTTTATACCAACGTGAAGGAATAAGGTTGATGTGAAATATTGCTGAGCTTGAATAAGTTTCAACACAAAAAAAATAGTGACAAATAACTTCTTTGTTAATTAACATCATACATGTACATAGATGTATACCATCTTTGAGTAATACGACATAATTTCTGATACCTGAACTTCCAGTTAGTTTAACACACCATACTTGAATTATTTGCTTATTAGAAAGATTTTCAATTAGAGAACTAAAAAGAATCTGAGAAGTATCATATTCTATTTCTCTATGTTTTGCATCTAATTTCTCATTATTGTTACTACGTTCATATTCTAATAAAATATTATGCCATTCCATAATAAGAGAAACATCATAACATAATGATTTGTTTATCTGACTCCTCTGTTTTCTGAGAATAATCAGATTAAGATAAGCTTTAATAATATTATCTACTTGAATAAAAAATTGTGTAGAAATTGTAGGCAAACCAGTTCTCGGTATAGAATTTCTTTGAACTTCAAAATTTTCAAATAATTCTTCATTATTAACTTGATTATTAATCACATACAATAAATCATTTAATGACGTGCATGGTCTACTTTACTGTGAACAAGTTTGTTGATTGACTATATTCATTGAGTACTTGTTACTTCTGCTGTAAAACATCTACTAACCCATGCTGTTGCCCAAGATTCCTTATTATTATATAAAACTTTAGTCATATATTTCTCAATGCAGGGAAAATCCTTAATTAATAATGATCACCAGATTTCAAACAATGTTTTGGAAAGACTATTGAACATATATAAAATTGTTTGCGAAAATTCTCAAACTGTTGCCCCAACTTGCCCTTTAATTTTTTTTGCAAATTCAGATCAATATGAAATATGCATAAAAAATGTATAGATTCTGGAAAGACTTGCTTAATAGCACCTATCATAGCTGGGTCCAAATTAGTAAAAATAGATTTCAGATAGACACCAGTTTCCTGATATAAAATATCCAAAATCCAACTAAAAGATTCTTGAGTTTCATCCTCGAGGAGTGCAGTAGCTACAATACGTGATTTCTAATTACTATCAATAACAATAATCATGCATAACATTAGATGAAACCGATTTGTATTAGAAGTAGTGTCCATAATAACTACATCATTATATTGCAAATACAAATCTAATTGTGAAGGTGACATCCACATAATTGATATCAAATACCTTGAAATGTCATCAATACGAGGTTTGACAACCTATCTTGGATCATCCTCTTTAAATTGTAATAATGATTGCAACATTTGTGCTGCATCTGAATCACCAGGATTATTTTTTCGATGAAATCTATATACAGCATTATATAAATCTTACCTATTTATTGTATGCTTAGGATAATCATGACTGAGTAAAGAAATATAGAAGACGAATCCATCTGAGCTATAATAATATATTTTTTAATGTTGGCAAGCATTTCTGGAGTAAATTTACGAAATTGTAGTGTCATCTCTTTAATCATAGAATTTATAG